CCCTCTGGCTCGTAGGCTTGTACACATCTTATGCTTTCACCGGCATGCACTTCTGCTTCGGAATCTTTGTTTCTCTTGGGCTTGGCCACAAACAAAATGTAAAAAAAAATGTTCTTTGACGTTTTGCCCACTTAGGAGACAGAACACGCGTCCGCTGGGCTTGAGGCTGCGACAACTCCTTCTCAGTGTCACCTCTTTCAGCAGAAGCACGGAAGTGCGCTGTATTACCTGGCACGAAATGTATATGCAATCGCAGGGCGCTTAGCCAAAAAAAAAACTAGAGTTCAATATTTTCCAAGCTTCCGGCCTCTAAACAAAATAAAAACTAGAAAGTAACTGAAAAGTAGCTTTTAAATGAGTACAAGTTACTTGAAAAATGTATTTAAGTTAAAGTGCTAAATAGTGGAGGTTTGAAAGTATTTGCAAAATGTCAAGTTACTCACAGAAGTATTTAAGATACAGTAACTTGAGTAGAGTATTTAAGTTACGTACAAGTCTGCTCCAGGTTTGCCATGTCTATCCTTAACCACCTCGCCTGCCTATATGCTTTAACCTCAACTTGGACGCGTTTCTTCTTGTTCTTCTTCTTTATTAATACTGTTAACCTCTTTCGAGCTTGTTACGGGAGTGGGTGAAACATAATATCACACAGGTTGCACTTGCTGCAATAGCTTGGAACAAAAAATCTAAAACGTTTGTAGTATTTACAACATCAGGTGGCAAACCATTCCAATCAAGAGTGGTTCGAGGAAAGAAGGAATATTTTAATACGGCATTTTTATAACTATATGGTTTTTTTGTTCTGCTGTGAGAATGCCTAGTAGACCTGGGGCAAAAAAAAATGTAATGTAGTCATCTTTGTCTATTCCAAGCTCGTCGTTAACAATAATGTAGAGAAATTTTATACGATTCATTCTCCTCCTTTTCTGTAGGGGTTTCCAGGCCCGCATCAGTACAAAGTTTTGTGGGGGACAGATTAGAGGAATACATACTCCTTCTTTCTTTCGAGTTCTGAAATACAACATGATGTGTGGGGATCCCAGATGACACTAGCGCATTCTAACACTGGCCTAACCAGAGTTTTATATAATAATAACTTTGTCTCACGGGAGCCATGCTTCATATACCTGCGAAGAAAACCCAACTTACTCATTGCTCTAGTACATATGGGACTAACATGTGTGTTCTACTTTAAGTCGGATGTTATAGTCAAACCGAGATACTTATATAAGCAAACTTTAAGAAGGCTAAAGTTACCAATAGAAAAATTAAAAGTAAAGGACTTTTCTTGCGAGTAATAGACATACAAAGAGTCTTTGATAAATTCAATGACATTTTCCAATTCGCACACGATTTAAACAACCTTTCTAGCGAGGAATTTAATACTTCACAGTCTCCGAGACTTTTAATTTCCTTTAAAAAACAGCACAATCATCTACAAACAATCTTATCTTGACTGGAATTTCACAAACAATATCATTAACAAATATTAAGAACAATAGAGGCCCGAGAACTGATTTTTGTGGGACACCAGACGTCACGTGTGTAGTACTGGAACACGCGCTATCAAATTGTACAAATTGCCTCATAGCCAAATAACTTTCTAGCCACCTGAAAATATTAGTATTATTTAAGACAACAACCAATTTTGTTTGTAGCTTCTCATGTGGAACGCGGTCGAATGCTCTTGAAAAGTCCAAGAATACAACGTCAGTTTGGCCTCGAGTAGTAATTACCGAAGCGAACTCGTGCACTGTTTCGGTGGTAATGGTAGACACTTTTTGTCGGAAACCATGTTGAGCTTTAGTAAAAAAAACTATTTTGCTCCAGATATGCCGATATGTGTTTAAATACAATAAGTTCCAATATTTTACTACAAATACTGAGCGAGGAAAAAGGTCGATAATTGGAAACAACCTTTGAGTCACCGGATTTTAAGATGGGAATCACTTTTGCTATTTTCCATTTTGAAGGTACAGGGTAAGTTTCTAGCGACTTTATGAATATTACAGTCAAGTACTTAACGCTCCATTCCGCATACATTTTCAGGAAAGCATTGAGAATTCCTTTTTAACGTTAATATTCAAAATATAAATTAGAATACCTTCCTCCGAAATTGTTATAACTGGCAAACCGTTCCTAGCGCAATCGCTGTCTTCTCGAATTGCATCAAATACCGGACTGTGACCATTGTCCAAACTGAAAACGGACGTGAAATATGTATGGAGAGCATCAGAAATATAATAGGAGTCATCCACAGCTTCGTTATCAATATTCAACTCGTTTACTTTTGGTTTAGAGGGCGATATAAAGCGCCAAAACTTCTCAGGCGAGGACTTGAGAAAGGAGGGCATTGTTACATTAAGAAATCGGTGCTTCGCATCTTTAATTGTATCCTTAAACTTGCGGTTTAATTGGTCAACGAGGTTCGCGTCTTTCAATCGTTTCCGAAGTCTAAAGGGTCTACGGCGCGTTCGAATAATTTCCCTATTTATCCGCGGATTTTTTTTTTTTTTTTTTATTCTTACACTTCACTTTTTTGGCACAAGTTTCGAAATTCAGTCAAGAACAATATTTTCAAAAACTGCCACAAAAATTGACATCGATCTCATGTGTATTGGAAGCACTGAAGAAGTCACTAAAGGAGAACGCTAGAGCGTCAGTAATAGCGACATCATCGGCCTTGGAGAAGTCGACATATTCTTTGCGACTTCCTGCGTCGCAGGGCGTATTATTGGTGGAAAAAGTAAGCAATACTATTTGATGATCTGAAATGCCCTCAAGCACCTCAATACTTTGCACTCTTTCACATAAATTCTGAGTAAGGAAAATTAAATCGACTATAGAGTCTTTTTCTTCGGATAATCTTGTGGGAGCGTGTACGATTTGATTCAGATCATAAAAGAAAGCCAGCTCTAGTAAAGCCTGCGAGATATAACACGCTGACCATGTGCTTTCTCAATCTATATTAGGCAGATTAAAATCCCCAGCAAAAAGAATTCTAGAATTAGCATGTAAATTTTCGGAGAGATAGTCGTTTATTTTTACAAAATCATTGCCACTGCTAGGTGATCTGTAAAACGCACCAATGATAAGAGCTATGGAAAAAATGCTGACACGAGTCCACAAAATCTCAACGCCACTGATATCTGGCATTCGGTTATAGCGCAAGTTTTCTTTCAAGACTATGGCCACGCCCCCACCTCGGGTATCTCTGTCCTTCCGTACTATTTTATAATCTGGGGGAATAATTTCCCAGTCAGTACCTTCAGTATGTAACCACGTTTCCGTGACGACTGTGATATGTGGGTCACGTGACAGCAAAACATGTTCAAAATCAGTAATCTTATTCATAAGACCTCTTGCGTTCAAGTTCAAAAATGTAATAGAATCCGTGGGCTCCCGCCTGGATTGTCTGCTGCGACGGTCTGGGATGAGTTCGTGCTACGCGTGCCTGTTTATCACTCTGCTAGACAAAGAGTGTGCTATTTATTTTTAACTCGTTATAATTTAGACTGACCTTATCGCCTTTTCTTCGATTTTCCTCAGAACTGTCCCACAACTGCTTGCGAATGTTGCGAATACGTACCGAAAAATCTTCTGAAACAGAAATTGTCAATCCCTTCAGCTTAGGGCAGTTTTTAAGAACTGACTACTTCTCTGAGAAATTGAGGAACTTAACCCTTACTGGCCTCGTTTTGCCATCTGATTTGCGTCCAAGCCTATGAATTATTTCTTTGGTTGTACGTGGTAAGCCGAGTGTTTCACCGAAACTCTTGTTTACTGCTGTATCCTGAAGTAATTCCGCTGTCTCACTAACCCTCTCATACACACCATAGATGACGAGGTTATTTCGGCGGCTTCTATTTTCTAGGTAATCGATCTTACCCAAGAGGTCACCTATTGTGTTTTCGACGGTAGCAACTCTGTTTCCACAATCAGATAATTGTTTTGTTGTCGCCTCTAGGGCTGTCAGTTGGGTCTCAGTTTTTTTTTTTCAGTTTTTGGTGAATTCGCGTGAGTTTTTCTTCTGCCCGTTTCTGATTTTCTTTGACTGTTGTTAAGTCGTTAGTCATTTGCGCCTGGTTTTCTAAAACTAGATTTAACAATTCTTCAACTGTGGGACCAGGGCTGGTTTTCAATGTCACCGCTCATTTGCACGAGTAAAGCAATGCTATCAGCTAGGGTGCCTTCATGTGCGCTTTGCTTGGGGTGATGACATCTGGCCATTTTGTTTCGAACGCTTATTTTTATTTTTTGTTCTGAAGCGCGTGAAAGGGCGTCTCCCTGCACGCGCTCGTGGCGCTGACTGTGTTACGGCGACATTTTGTTTCCTGCGATTTCTTTGTATTTTCCCTGTGGGCGCGTGCTGTCGGCATCGGGTACTACAAACGATGGCATCACCCTAAACAGAAGGGCATTGAGGCACACTAGTATCAGCAATACACGGGAAAAAACACTGGGACACGGCAGCACCAGCAAAAAGAGGTCATCGTTTTTGTATGAGGAGTCAGAACAAGCAACCTGCACAAAGAACAAAAGCGGGTTTACCCGCATGTTCGTGTCGATGCTGCCGTGTCAACTGGCAGCATCGACACGAACACGTGAATTTCTAGTTTTTCTTGTTTCCTTTCGGAGAGCATCTCCGAGCGGGCAATCCCGCCTAGATGTCTAAAACGTACAACCTGCGTACACCGCCACACATCGCATGTAAAGGTGCCTCTTCACACTGGCACGGACGCCAAAAAGGAAAACCTCATGCGGCAGCCGGGAGCTTTCTTATCTAGCCTCTTCTACGTGCGATACGCGGCGCTGCACGTACGTTGAACGTTTGGCCATCGAGAGTGGGGTTGCTCGCGTGGAGATGCGCTCCGATAAGAGACCGAAACTCAGAAACGCGTACGAATTGAAAATTTTTTCGGAGCGATAGTCGAACCGTGCTGTGTGAAGGGGCATTTACTCAGTCGGCCGTAATCAAAAGGCGCGCGTCGCGTTTGCAGGCGACCTGGGCTACTACGACGAGAGTGGGCAGTTCTACATCGTGGAGCGCCTAAAGGACATGATCAAGTGCATGGACCAGCAGGTGGCGCCGGCCGAGGTCGAGAACCTGCTCATGGGCCACGAGGCCGTGGCCGAGGCAGCCGTGGTCGGCATCCCGCACCAGGACTTTGGGGAGGCGCCTACGGCCTTCGTCGTCCTCAAGGACGGACGTCGGGACAGCGTCAGCGAGGACACGCTCAAGGACATCGTAGCCAGTGCGTGGCACCGTTTGACCCCTTATTTATTAGCGACTCCGGTGACCTAAAGGGGCCCAACCCAACACCACCTAGACAGAAGGCCTCCACACGCGTCATCATAGTCAGATCGATCGAGGCGAGAGATTGGGCACGAGTGCTGCGTCAGTGTTCGGCTGCGGCTCGTGGCCAATCAGCGCGTCGAAGGTCGGGCTCGGGTCCAATAGCCGACCGAGCGCGATCCGACTGTGATGACGTTTCATAGAGGAAGAGGAAACCATGCGGAGGCCTTCTGTCTAGGTGGTGTTGCCCAACCTCTTTACTAATATGGCAGCTGGTAACAGGTCGCGTCACTCAGGCCGGCCGGGATGCCTGAACGGGAGCTGTAATAAAGTTGAAAGCTGAGCTAGTTGGATGCCGCTGTACATGGTGAATAAAAACAGCGCTAAAGACAAGGACAAAAGCGGAAGATACTCGACAGGACAGACGTTGACTCGCAAATACTCGTTTTTTGTACAAACAGAAATGAAGAAAGAAAATACGCAGCGCCCACATTCACACGCGCACTTTCCACTCATGATAGCTAGGGATGCCGCGAACCTTTTTCGAATCGAAGTTTCGATGATCGAATCAAGCAGTTCGAAAGATTTCGAATCTTCGACCTTTTAAATATTGAGAAATCCGACGGAAGTCGAATTTTCGAACTTATTGAACTAAAAAGTTCGACGCTTTTCGAAATTTCGAACTTATTACGCTGCAAAATTCGGTGCTTGTCGAACTTTCGACCTTGATTGACTAAAAATTCGATGATTTTCGAACTTTCGACCCTCTTCCACTAAAAAGTTGAAGCTTTTCGAACTTTCGACCTTCCTACGCTAAGAAATTCGATAATTTTCGAACTTTCGAACTTCTTAATCTAAAGAATTCGAAAGTAGTCGAACTTTCGATTCCTCAAAAATTCAAAACTTCGACGAACTTCAAACTTTTAGGGTAAAAGTTCGAAGTTCGTCGACCTTCGAAAGACCGGCGGGCTGTTTCATTTGGATTCAAGCAGCGAGGTACATTCGTAATTTTTTTTCGCAATTTTACATGCGGTGCCGAATTCCTTGCGAAAGACAATGCCGTTTATTTCAACCATCTGGCATGCTTGGTTTAAAAGAAATAGATTCCCGAAGGAGCGAGAAAGGACGACGAGTTTTTGACGATTGTCGTTTGTGCCATATTTGAAGCGCGCTATAGCCGAAGCTATTTATGGTAGAGATGTTAAACTTTTTAAGAATGAGCTATGCATAGCCTAGGTAGTGTCGCCTTAAGATCTGATTATTGTTCTTCAAGACGAGTTTCGAAGAAATATCCAAACATGTACCTACGGGCAATTATGCCCTAAACTTGGTAATTGTTTCGCCTAACTTGTTTGAGGTATCGCATTTAAATTAACACCAGAGGCAGTACATATCATTCCCATCTGCAGAATACAAAATAATGTATTTATTGTTGTTTGTTTACGTGGAGGAATAAATTAAATCATTGGGGAAGATTTCTAAAAGTGTTCAAGTTCAGCACGTCATAAAAAAAATATATATATATATATATACATTTTTTTTTTCCCCATTTTACGTTCTTGGGACGAGTTCCTTTTGGCCTGTACACATTTTGGTAGGAGCAACTTGTTTCATAGTTCTGAGCCTCTGAATATGCAAGAATACAACACTTCCGGCGGGTTCTTGATAGTTTCTTTTTTTTTTTTTCTTCTTCTTCAACTTTTTATTTTTGCATTTATTGTTATGTTTATTTATTGATTATTTTTTTATCAATTGCACAGTTATTTAGGTCGAAAAGACATAGCTCTGAACCAGGGCCGTAACCAGGGGGGGGGGGGGGGGGGGGGGGATAGGGGGTTCTGAACCCCCCGGAAATTTTTTTTCTGGGTACGGCCCTGGTCTGGTGCACTGGCAGCCAGCCGATTTTAATCTCCACCTCTGCGCACGCGCAGTGGCGCCGGTCGGCTACCGGGTACCAAACCGGGACCGGTTCTCCGGTTTGCTGTAACTCTCCATTATATGCCACCGATGCACATGATTCATAGGCGAAAATAAGACAATAGACACTTTCAAAATGGCCGCCGTTGTCCCCGAAACCCCCCCCCCCCCCCCCCCTCCGACATTTTTTTCTGGGTACGGCCCTGCTCTGAACTTCCGAGCCACCGAGCATGTGACGAATAGTGCCTTCTGACAACGAGTTTCTAAAGGCCTGTTCACAAATGCAGCGGACCGCTACAAGCATAGCGCTGACCTCGCGCTAAGCACCTGCTGACGGGAGCGTTCATCAGCCTTTGTATCGCACCGTCAAAACTGTAGCTCATGGAAGACGATAAGTAGCTGACGGCACGTGAGCAGCGCTACATCAGCGCTTCGCTGCATGTGAGAACCGGCCTTAACAATGACTATTTACGCGATCTTTTATACAGTGAAGAGCGACGCTATACATATGCATAAATAATTTCAGATTAAAATAGGCTCGACCATGCCCTCCTTCCCCGTATTGTTTTCTTTAACAATCCGAAATATCTGGGAGGGGGGGGGAGACTGGAGCCCCCCCCCCCCCCCCCCCCCCCCCCCCCCCGTTTTTCCTCTTCCGACGCCACTGGTATGGTAGAACGCTCCTCGACCTCAAGTTGCGTCAGCTTCTCTGCTTTTTGCTCAGCGTTCCTTCCGCCCCTGAAAATAAACCTCCAAAGCAATTACAAACAAAAAACTTGTCAAGGTGCAGGCGAGCTCTTGTTTGTTGATCATGATGCAAAATTCGAGACTGGGAATGAAATTCGCGAGGAATAGTGTAAGAAGAAAGAAAAAAGGGGACAGGACAACGTCTCAAATTCAGCTGAGTTGAGTTTGAGACGTTGTCCTGAGCTGAGTTTAAGACGTTGTCCTGTCCCCTTTTTTCTGTCTTCTTACACTTTTTCTTTCAAATTTCATTCGCAGTCTCAGGATTTTGCATCATGTACAAACTAAACTTACTATATGCCAGCGTCACTCGGGCGGCGTTCGATCGGGTTACTACCAGCGTGCAAGGGGGTAGGAGGGGGGGGGGGGGGGGGGCGGCAGTTTCCCAGATCACTTCAAGGTTTTTCTTAGCCTCAACCACCTGCCTGCCCCTGGCCGTTTCAAACTGGATGAGTATCGTTAAACAGTGCGTTCGTAGGATCGCTACTTCGTGATGCACGTTAATGACCACCCCAGGCTGGCGGTCACAATTACTGATCTATTGTTACACGTCACTCTGCACTGCCAAATATTCCAGCATATCCGGGACACTCGTCGTCTCATTTAATTGCCTGACCAACTTCGCGCAGTCTAAATATCACACCCGAACTTCTCTAAGCCTGATTTCGTCAAAACCAGTGAGGCGTGAAAACGTTATTTGAAACTGAGACTGTGGCGGAACATGAAAACCGGACTTCGAACTTTGCGCACTTGGACTTCAAAGCAATTGGAAACCTTCGAAGTTTTTTGGGTTTTTTTCGAATGTAGTCTTAGAAGAGAATCGAAACCTTCGAACTTTATGTAGAAAGAAATTCGAAATCTTCGAGTTTATCGAACTCTATGTATTTATAAGAATTCGAAACGTTCGAATTTTTTTATTTTTTAGATCCAAAGAAATCCGAAACATTCGAATCTCTCGAATTTCAAATTAGGGAAGTTCGAAATCTTTGAATTTATCGAACCTCAAGTAAACAAATATTCGAAAGAATCGAACCCGAACTTTTAAAGACCGTGAAAGCTTCGAACTTTTCGAATTCGAAACCCCACAATTTTGGAAGGTTGCGAATTTTTCAAATTCGTACTTCCATGCGGTCGAAAATATCGAAACCCCACAATTTTGGAAAGTTCCGAATTTTTCAAATTCGAACTTCCGTACGGTGGAAAATATCGAAACCTTTCGAAATCGAAGATCAGTTCGGTTCGAAAATATCGAAACCTTTCGAGTTCGAAAATAGAGTGGTTCGCGGCATCCCTAATGATAGCTGCTCATTACACCACCCTCTGGCCTCATTGTCATTTTCAGGAACTCCAGTTCGTTCCTAGACAAAATGATTTTTTGGCCTAGTTGGTTAAACATTACGAAAATTAAAAAGCAGGAGGGAGACTACACAGGACAAGAGCTTACTCGCAACTGACGTTTTAATTCGGAAGATGAGGAAGATGAAAAACCCTAACGTTAAATGTAGAAATATTTATGAGAAAGGAGTGAAAGTTACGAAAATTAAAAAGCGCAAAAGACACTCCTTTCTCATAAACATTTCTAACATTTAACGTTAGGGTTTTTCATCTTCCTCATCTTCCGAATTAAAACGTCAGTTGCGAGTAAGCGCTTGCCCTCTGTAGTCTCCCTCTTGTCCTTGTCTCACCACGGCTGACGTCCGGGCATGAATGAAAAATGATAATTCGTCTCGTTGCCCTAAATCCACTAGATACTAATCGCCTTATCTGGCACACTTCAATCAAATATTTGTCGTCTGTCGTTTGAACATGCTATAGCAGTTGAGAAGTCAGAAAACAAAATTCTTCCAGGCGCTATCTAATGGTAAACTTGGGTTCTCTGGAGTCCACCATACCGAAAAAAGCGGTAAAATCTGCGCGCCCAACGAGACACCACTGTGTGGCGCACCTTTTCTCAGCCATGCAACCATAGGTAACACAACGCTGTCAGATCGGCTCGCGATGACTCGCTACCCTCATTCGGTAAGGAGGCTGACGTCGCTCCCGGTTAGAACTTCCAGCGCATTTCACCGTCTACTTATATCCCAGTCTTCTCACGGCTTAAATTTCTTCAAGAATAGCGTGCAGCAGAATATAGCTGTCGGGATTTAAACCACAGCTTATTTTGACGACAGGAAAAGGATCTCTAATTGGAATGCGCCAGCTAACGCGAATACTACATCGAATTTAATTTGATAGGTGGGCCTTAGGTGATTAATTCTCTAACTATCGCTTTACACACTTACCCTGACGTGCGCCACGGTCAATTGCGTGATCCAGAAAAAATATTTTCTTTACTTCGAGGGTCCTTACTTAAAACTTACTCTCTGCCCTCTAGGATATCCGGTTTTCTTTTTTGTTTTTTTGTTGTTTCTTTTTGCACCTTGTTATTTTGGAAATGCTTCTGAGGTTGGAATATATTACACGAATGACTACCTTGTAAGATCCCCGGCGGATAATTTTGGAGAGTTCTGCTAAGGGTCTCGTTAGTAAATTATGTGTTCTTGCTCACTGACCACCAACAAAATTTCAGGTCAATCTGCGACTTACAAGCACCTGCATGGAGGCGTATTCTTCGTTGATGCCATTCCAAAAACGGACACTGGAAAGTTTCTTCGAAGAAAACTTCGAGACCAGCATGTCAAGCAACAGCTGTAGTAGAGAGCCACAGAACATGTCGTGTCAGATACAGTGGGAGCTGCATGGACTGAAGTGCGGGCCTCTAGCAGATTTAAGGCAAAAAGGACGATGCGCACGAACCACCATATCTGCAAAGTAGTCATTTATGCGGACAAAATTACAATCCTGGATCACTTGTCCCGGTTAGAGACAATCATTGGCACGTACCGTCTGACAGCACGTATTGTGTTGCGAATTCTGTACAGAGTTCGAAATGCATAAATCCTGTTTTTATTGTGTTTTAAGAGATGTGCGTTAAGCCTTTCCATGAAAAACTAGATTATGCCACGGCTTTTCTCAACTTTTTTGTTCGTATACATATTAAAGAGAACGAGAGTTTATTGCTGACAATCTGAAATACTCAAAACAAATCAGTTTGTATAGATTAACATTCATAATTTGACAATTTTCACGTGCGGCAGGAAAATATTTTATTTATTTAGATCGTTCTCCGGTGAACAAAGGCACATGGGATGTTTATAACACTCGAAATCTCTATACTCCGCGACAACTTTTCTTGGCAATCCAGTGGAAGGTACAGGCCCGCGTCCCCTCTCCCATTTTGAGTGTACGCAGTCTCTCCTCCTCCCCCTTTTCCGGGGAGAGGAGGAGAGCCCGCGCACACTCAAAATGGGAGAGGGGTCGCGAGCCTGTACCTTCCACTGCATTGCCAAGAAAAGTTGTCGCGGAGTATAGGGCCGTAAAGGACGAATCCGGATCATTCTACATATTTGAAAAACAATGCAGTCCTTTTAGTGTGGCCTATAAAGACCACACGCCAATTATGTCGTTCTAATATAGCCTAAAAATTTATGAAACTGGCAAAGTATGAGGTGAGTGAAATTACAACACTCAGCTAATTCTAGCAGGCGAGGCGCGGCGTAGTAACAGCGCAGTCAATGGGCGCGTTGAGTAGTAGCTCCGGGAGTGCTTCTACTCTACTCCGTTCATCCCTAAGCTGAGAGAGTGGGGGAAGCTACGTCATCTCTTTAGCCACGTGACCCGCCCGGAATCGGGCGCAGAGAGTCTGCTCAGGCTATTTTCGACAAATGTTTTGGAGCGTATTTCGTTTGTTTTTGTTATGCTAATAAACCACGTAAACGTTCATTTGAAGCAGTGTTTTCACCGCCGCTGCACGGAAACTCGGTGATTATCGACGATAGTCGTATCCGTGTTGAACAGAGCAAGGCAGTGTATGCATAGCCTCCTCTATGCATAGCCTCCTCTATACTGCCAAAGCCTGGCAGATCGCCACGAGACGCGGCCGCCGAAAGTGAAAAGGTAGAGCGGCAGACAACGGATGAGAGGAGAGGAATGTAACGGGAGCCCCGCTGCGGCGAGACGCCGAAACACACCTGTTCCGAGCGATGAAATGCCCGCTCGTGCTCCTCGCGTTAATCAGCGCTGCCGCTTCTTTTTTCGTCGGGTTTGAAAATCATGTTTCGGGTCTCGCCGCTGCAAAAGCTGTGCGCTAAATACCAGGTTCCCCTCGAGTTCCTAGGCTCCCTACGGCAGCCAGAGTTGCGCGTCTGTTTTCCACGTGCCGCCGCGCCGCTATTCGCCGAGATCCGATCACGTGAGGAGCCGGATCAAGTGCCGTGCAGGAAAGTAAACGTTGCGCGGCACTCAAGTACCGTGCGCCTCAAACGCACGGCGCCGCTATTCGCCGAATTCAGTGACGTGAAGAGCGGGATCAACAGGCCGTGCGGGAAAGACGGCGCTACGGGGATGTACGCGCAGCTCTGGCTCCCTACGGGAGCCTATAGAGGAACTCTAGGTTCCCCTAAAGGGGGGCTTTAGGTTCCCCGAGAAGTGCTCTTTCCTAGCAGATCCTCGCGCTCCAAATCTGCGACCGGGCACCCTATGGCTCCGTCGTCGAACTATCAGGCTTTGTGAGTATGGAGATGAATGTGACTTTGGCGCGCGGTTGGACAACCCGGCGGAACATGATCCCGATTTATGTTCTGTTTGGCGTAGCTAAATCGGGGTGTATGCAAGTATGAGACGTTGGCTGACGCTCGCTGCGGCCGACAAAACTTTCAACGCCAAGCGCTGCCGACCCCGAGCGTCTACAAATACATTTTATAGGAAGTTCGTAAAGAAGGGCAGAACAAACGTATGGCCGCATAAAAGTATCGTAACCGGCGGCGTAGATTTGCCGAGCTCGATATTTTGCGTGTGTTGATATTTTTTTTTTTACTTTATTTATTTTGGAATACTACCACTCCATCCTTGGAGCTATTGCAGGAGTGGTAACATAATAGAAACCAGAAAAAAGCAGTGGCGCACCAACAAAATAATTAGCTAAAGTAAAATTCAATAGCATCTAAAAAGTGGGGGAAAGACGTCAAAGTCATAATGTCATTACTTAAGTTGTTCCATTCTTGAATTGCCCCAGGAAATAAATAAAATCTAAAGCAGTTATTTTTAAACCTGCATTGTGTTAGTGCTCGGCAATTATTTATTCGTGAGGACCTTGACGTAGCGATTTTAACTAATAGGAGCTATCTATATTGTACTGGTCTCGGATGGTCACTATGAAAAGGTGCGCTCAAGCACGTGGCCCGAATCTCACTCGGACACGGCCCGCAGGCAACCGGCTCGAGTTCCAGTTCCCATGTCTCGAGCGCTAGAAATGGCTTGCGCCACAGAGATCTCATCTCTACGATTCATTTTCGCTCAAAAAGTAGCTATGCTCTTTTAACGTATTTACATAGTTTATACTGTGTGAACTTTCCCTTTGTTTTGTTTTATTTTTTGCTTCCCAGCCTTTAGTAATGCACAACCATTCCGCTATTAGGCTGCAAGCACCAGCTCTTTCTTGAAGGATGCATCTCGGCTGCGCGAACTCTCGTTCAGCAGGAGCAATTGTCAAGGATAAAGCGCTACGAGCTCAGGATTCTCCCCTTTAAAAAATATCAACATTAAAAGGGAAGTATTTGTTCCGTGTTCAGAGTTGGCCCTCAACCTTTCCGGTGAGGACTATCTGGCCCCCACACTCAAACGCGTTTGAGACCACTGGTATATAGGGACATTGCAATGCTAAGGAATAGGCTTAAGCTCAGAAGGCCGGTGAGGAAATGGAAAGGCTTGCAGGACGTGGCGCGCGGGACAAAGGACTGTCGATGGCTTGGGACCGGCGGGCACAACAAGGCGAAAGAACACGTCAGACCACGTCGGAGTTTGGAACAAGTACAACAAGACTCTCCGTATTTACAGATGTGTAAGACCACGGCCGGTCTCGACGCGCGCGCTCGCTCTCCCCTCCGGCTTGTGCAAGAGGGGCATTTGCTGCCTATCGCCGCAACTCTCCGGGGGCGCTGCGAGCCAACCCCGCTCTGACCCCGCTTAAAGCCCCTTGATAAAAAACGCAAACACATGGAGGGGCTTTAACCCCGAGCAAAAGCGCGCGTGTGTATGAAGGCACTCTAACCCCGCTCCGCTCGACGGGAGCCACTGAAATGTTCGCTCGACGTAGCCTCGGCGCGCGCTGTTTGAGGCATCTTGCACGTGTCGCTGAACGGCTGCTCGCACTGCGTTGAGCAAGCACTGTACAACCGTGCCTTATGCAGTCACCGCTACAGGCATGCAATGCAGGGAACTGGTATATGGATCTGAAAACATTGAAGTTGGCATGCTGTCATGGCGCATAGTATCAATGGGCAAGGCTGGATTATTTGCGAGTCACATGAGTAAAAGTGAAGCAAGATATTTCAGCATGTAACCAGGGTTAGGAAACATTTATTTTCCTATTAAAGGCCTTCACAGTCAGCAGTCCAAAATGTATTATGATAATAACAGCGTTTGCCGCTCCAAAAGGTTCAAATGTACCTATTCAACCTTCTCTCACTGAGCGAAAAACACAACATCAGACAGATTCTTTACTTTTTGAAGCGCTTAAATCGTTTCACATACGTAAAAGGACTGAAAGCAATAACAGGCATTGGTTGTAATGACATATACAACGTTATCGTGTGACTCAGAGTTCCGAGGAACGTCAGTCACATCCTGAAATGCTTTCGCGTTGGTTTGTGACAAGCCAGACGGCTTGTCATTCTGATCTGTTAATTTCTTTGTGTAGTTGACGAGAAGAATTCGCAGGAATTGTTCAGAGATCAGATGTGCTGAGCGTTTGGCGTGACTCAGGTCAATACATTCTGGGCAGCTTAGGAGGGGAGAATCTTCTAGATGTGGCTCAACTATTAGCTGGAAGGCTTCGAGAATCTTTGATCCTGAGAGAGCTTTGACCGCCTTTTCAAAAAAAGTCGACATTGTTTCCAGGAGAGCTAGAAACTCGGGCTTCGGATAGTGAAGTTCACAATTTTCTTGTGGGCTCAGAAGTTTGTACAGAGGACTGCTAGTCTTGTTTGTCGTCACAAGCATGACGCAAGCGTGACATCCAAGATCACTGACAAGCTTGGCAAGGAATCTACCTACATACACCAAGCCTGAATAAGCAACAGACGCAGGCGGTGTTGAAAGATGTGCTTTCAGAGCTTTCAATTCTTGAGCCACATCTTGAGGAACAGAGGCGGCCGCTTCTTCTGCGTCTTCATCTTGTACAGCGACTCCTTTCGATGGCAGGGCTTTTTTCTTTACTATGTGGTCCAAAGCTGTTGTAACGGCTCTTCCGTCCAGCGCGTCGTTACCTCCGCACATAAAGCGCAGTTGTCCAAACAATGCCTCAATGGGATCACTGTTGAATTTTCTAGTCAGAACGTATCTGACGCCTTTTCTTAGTAGAAACCTGGTTACCTTCACTGTGGATTTCGTGCTGAAAAGTAGGGCACTGCATGTTTCCTCAGTGAAGTTCCCAACACCAGTGGCAATGAAACATTCTTGAATCGTCTTCACGTAGCTGCAAAACTCATTTAGCAGCCACAGTAGTCTGTCATCGCCTTCTCTAGAGATGGGCATTTTGCAGCCACTTCCATTGTAGGTGGTGTCGCGAATGTCGAACCATTTCTTCATCACTTTCATGAAGTTGATCGTCGATGTTGCATCCCTGAAAGTGAAGAGAAGGGAGCTGACTCGCGAGTTCTGCTGGAGATGTTCCAGTGCGGCAGTGACTTGGGGCGAAAACACCTGCACGGCGCGTAGCACGTTCATTTTTCTAGATGCGACGGATACACATGTTTCCTTGTAAGATTTCTGGCCAACTTCATAGACATGTCCTTCTGGTGCTCATAGAGTTTCTAAACAAATGTGCCACTGATGACGCCAGTGCCGTCTGTGAGCTCCCGTTCCACAAATTGGCTGCGGACATTCTTGAAAACATGGCAAGGATAGAAGCTTAAAAAAATTTCTCGTTCATCGTCGTGAGGATGCTTCACTATGGTTGACAAAGAACCATTCCCCATGAGCTTGAACATTGTTCTGTTCGCTGAGTAGTTATCGGTAACTATTCGGATCACCACAAAGCCGCATTCCTCAGCTGCAGAGATGACGTCCTTCGTCCACGCATACAAATCTCTCCCGCTCAGCTGCTTGGTGAAGTAGTACGAACATGGGATCTTGTACGAGCTGGCCACTCCGTGGAGCACAAAACACAGGACTCTGTTTGCAAGTGTTTCGTTCTTTGTAGGTGGTGCACCGCTTTCTGGCTTGTCTCTGATCCCAAATACTACATCGGACTTCCGGTCGTATATGCACTTTGGCTTTATTGCTGCTTCATCGATTATTAACGAAGCCATGTGCTGTTTGTGGCTGAGAAAGGAAGCCTCGTGAATGAGCCTTTCCTTCATGGCGCCACTCATTCCAGAAGAAGTTGAGCTGGTACCTACGTAGCGCTGCAGTGTGCACTTATGTGGCAGTGTCAGCAGGTTAGTCCGGGCATGATCGTAACCTTTTGGCGAAAGAATGCGCCATATGACACACTCTCTTATCACTTCTTCGGGATCAGACTGGAATTTCTTCTGGTATCCGTCAACTTGGTGAAACAGGAAGACAGCTTTTTTCTCTCCCTTTTCAGCGTCTGAAGCAATATATTTCAAAGCTGAGTAGCGCTTGTCGTCACGATTTGAGGAGATTACCTTTCTCTCTGGCTTCTAGTTGCTGCTGTGTTTTTGAGCAACTGGAGCGATAGTACGCTACTTGCGAACGAAGTCTTGCTA